AAAGTAAGATCATGGCATCCGGTCCCATCACTTCATGGCAAATAGATGGGGAAACAGTGGAAACAGTGGCTAACTTTCTTTTTTTGGGCTCCTAAATCACTGCAGATGGTGATTGCAGCCATGAAATTAAAAGACACTTACTCCTTGGAAGGAAAGTTATGACTAACCTAGACAGTATGTTAAAAAGCAGAGACATTAGTTTGCCAACAAAGGTCCGTCTAGTCAAGGCTATGGTTTTTCCAGTAGTCATGTATTGATGTGAGAGTTGGACTATAAAGAAAGCTGAGCACCAAAGAATTGATGCTTTTGAACTGCGGTATTGGAGAAGACGCTTGAGAGTCCCTTGGACTACAAGGAGATCCAATCAGTCCGTCCTAAAGGAGATCAGCTCTGGTTGTTCATTGGAAGGACTGATGCTGAAACTGAAACTCCAAAACTTTGACCACCTGATGCGAAGAGCTGACTCACTTGAAAAGACCCTGATGCTAGGAAAGATTGAGGGCAGGAGGAGAAGGGGACAACAGAGGATGAGATGGTTGGATGGCATCACTGACTCAATGGACATGAGCTTGGGGAAATTCTGGGAGTTGGTGATGGACAGGGAGATGGCATAGAGTCAGACATGACTGAGCGACCGAACTGAAGTGAAAAATAAAATTTCTATTTGCATCTGTTTTGTCTTACAATGTACTCAAAAAAAATATGGCTACATTCTGGATATGACTATTAGATATATTTCAAGTGTGTATTTTTGTAAACATAATTGAGTGGTAACCATTTATATTATTTGAGCACAAAGTTGTATTGTTACCATGCATTTTAAAACTTAACTCAGATGGCTAGATTCTAACGAATGCCTTCTCTACTTGGATTTGGGATTAAGTGCCAAGAGTAGGAGTTTATCCCCCCGAGAACTCTAGCCCTGATACTGATCTGAAAAATTGGATTCCTCTACAAGACTCATTGGCAATTAACCAAAAACACTTCATCACAAGAACAATTTATCCTTTCATAATTTCTTTGACTATTTCATGCCAAAATCATAAAGTGTGTGTGTGTGTATAACAGAGAGAGAGAAAGAGGAAAAGTACTGGGATAGGGCTTAAAATATTCACCTATTTTTGTGGCATATTCAGCAGAAGGTAAAGTTTGGGGTTTATTTTCATTATAATTCATGTAGTTCATCCATCTGTGGGTAAATTTGTTTCCCTAAACAGTGAATATTATTTAACAATACTTATTATTCAGATACTTCATAAAATAATCCTCACACAATTCCTATAAGATGGTTATAAGCAGAGTGCTGCACCCAACTCACAGAAGCAACAATGAAGTGGCAAAGTTCTGGGACTGTAAGATAAAGCTTGCTGCTATCTAAGGCTGCTGAAGCATAAAGGATCAGTCTTAAATCTTTCGTTCAAGAAATGTAGGAAAACAAAACACTCCAACCCCATATTCTTTCTTTGTAATCCCTGAATAGTCTTGCCTGAATAGTTTTAACATTTAGGCAGTTAATGATTTATATCAGCATAGGAGATTTATTTATATCACTTGATCTTCCTCCTTCTATACCATTTCTAGAGAGAGACTGACTGTCCTTGCACAGGAAGATGGTTTAGGCTTGTGCTAGAAAACTCTGTGGTGATGTCACTGACAAGAAATCTACCACACTGAGTATTTATTTCTCTTTTTTTCTTGCAAGGGCAAAAGGTTATACACTTTCTGAGACTGTGCTTCGTAAAAATAATCAGTACTTAAATGCATTGTATTTTTGACCACCCAGAGAGGAAGTGCTCTTATAGAAGAGCTCAGAGGAGATGTTATTGATGAAGTGTCAATGGATAGGATATGAATCAGATGAAATTCTCCTGAAGATACACAGTCTTCAAGTATAAGGAAGACTATTTGAGCTAAAATATGTTTTGAGTTAGGAAACCTCTGCTCACATGAGGGATATAATTGGAAACACCTGAGGCTAACATGCTGTTTCTTTCATGTGTTTCTTTCACAAATCTTTGTGGGGAGGAGGTTGGGAGGGACGCCTGCACGGGTGAGATGGTTTCCTGGCTTCGGTTCCCAGAGTCCTTTGGGTTGGATGTTTATACTCCCAATGTGAACATGATGATCACACATGGAGTCAGCTGGAAGAGATTATGAACCATGAAACAAGCTAACTTTGACTGTACACCCTTAGATGCTCTTATTGTCTCCTCACAACACAATGACTACCCTGTTTCTGTGGTAACTATGAAAGATAGAAAAGCCGACACAATTCTGCCAACATGTGGTTCAAACATCACACTTCACGGTTCAAAGTGGCATAAAGTGTTACTGAGAGTTGTCTAAAAATGTACAAGTCTACTCCTAAGTATCTAAAGACTAAGGAAATGATGTAATCGGTGTGGCCTAGTGACTAGAAAACATTTATGCTGCATCATTATGCTGGGGTTGATATGAACTCCTTTTATCTCAAACCAAAAAGTTTATGGCAAATTATTGTCAAGTGGTGTAAGTCTTCTCAAATGCTTTATAACTGGAATATGCCTTTTTTCCCATCTTGGAAATATTGATCAGATTTTATTAGAGTTTTATTTGTTTGTTTACCATTTTGACTATTTTAAGCATACAAATCAGCAGCATTAAGTACATTCACAATATTGTGCAACTATCATTAGTGTTTCCAGAACTTTTTCATTTATCTTGAACAGAGATTTTGTGCCGCTTAAAGAACAACTCCTCATTCTCCCCTTGACCTGGCCCCTGGTAAGCACTATTGTACTTTCCATTTCTATGAATTTGCCTATTCTCAGTACCTCAGACAAATGCCCTTTTGTGTCTGGCTTATTTCATTTAGCATAATATTTTCAAGGTTTAACCATCTTGTAGCATATATTAACATTTTTTTTTAATGGATGAATAACATTCTGTTATGTGTAGATACCACATTTTAAGAATCCATTCATCTGTTGATGAACGCTTGGGTTGTTTCACCTTTTATTACTTATGAATAGTCTGCTATTAATACTGGTATGCAAGTATATGTTTGAGTCCCTTGGCATGTGACTTTTTAAAAATAAATATTTTTAGCCCTTGATATTTGGATATAATAAGCAAAACTCAGTGGTCACCACTAATGAGTTTGGGGGTTATTTTACATTTCTTTATTTTTTTCAGAGTATATTTGGGGAAATTTTTCACTTTTCTTGCTCCTTCTCACATTTCAAGACTGCATATGCCCCATCTTCTGCATGTGTTACATAAATAAACAAAAATTAAAGTAAATTAAGCTGGGCTATGAGGCATAGACAGGATTTGTTCTCAGAAACAGAAGCAATCATACCTTCTGCCTGTCAACATTAAAAATGAACAAGTTCATTAGTTTTTCAACTTGTATACTCTTGATGAGTATAGAATAAGATCGCTAAAGAATAAGAAGTGAGAATTGTGTAAAAAAAAAAAAAAGTAGCTCCATCATATTACTTAATAAAAACTCTCTTGGTATTTCCTATCTATGGGATTTTGTACCTAGTGTCACAAGGTGGAAGAGGTTATTTTGACTGAATCTGAGTTACATGCAGTCAGGTTTAAAAACTCCCAACTAGTTATCCCATAGAAACTTCCTCTATTACTTCTAGACATTAATTAGAAAGCCAGATTAACACATGCTTTAAGGAGACAGATTCCAAGTGTAGAGAATCAGACAGACCATAAGATTTGGAATTCCTAAAACATGTGTTTTTGGAAAATGCATCTGCAGAATTGGTAGAAGTGGTTGACCTAACATCTGGGCAGGGTATAAAAGACTGAAATTAATGATTGGGAAACTTCATGTGCATAAAATGAAGACTGTGATGGTTTTGCTTTTGACCAGTATTTTTCTTTGTAACAGCCTGGACAGCAAATGTTTCAACTTGTGCACAAACTCTTATCTCCCTTCTTTAACAAATGGTATCAGGAAAGTCCTGAGGAATTATCTTTTCTAAAAGAAACCATGTTCTTGCTTGCTGCTGGCTTCCTCTCCTTTCCTGTGTGGAAGGCAGGCTGCATCATGTCAGCATCCTTGTGTTGTTCTCCAGACTAGAATATTATCATCCTGAACAAAACATAAAATGGCAATGCATGGTGAAATATAATACAGACTGTAAACATGTTGAAATTGTCAGAGCAATATAAAGTAGAAATGATCAAGTTCTTCACATTCCTCTTAAATGAAGACATAGAAATAGCTGATCTAGAACAGACTCATGGATGGGGGACAAAAACAGGAAGAAGTTATTTGCTGATGCCTTACCTTTTGCCAGGGTAAAAGGATTATTCACTTTTCTCTTGTTTGAACTCAACTTGGTAATTTGTGTGCTTATTCAGATTACAGTTCTTATGCTGAGTCATGACTCCGAAGCAGTGTAGCTATTTCACTACCCGATCATGGATACTATTTCCTTCTGGTCTTAACTATGAAGATCCCAATGATTCTGAGACCACCGTCTTAATGACTCATTTCTAAACTTTCACCCCTCCATTTCCTTCTTAGTGGTACTTAAGTAGTATCTGATTAGCTTTTCCACCAAATAGCTAAGATACGCCCCAGATTTACAACATACCAGGGAACACACATAAAACAGAAGAGAAAGTTTTGTTTCTCTGTTGCGACTGCTTGAGTCTTCTCTAGGAGTCTTAGCAGGAGACTTCTCAGTCTGAGATGTTTATACTCTCCCTCCTCTGAGGAAATGGAGCTGAAGACATCTCACCTACATGTAGTTTCCTCTAACCTATGGAGCCTACCAGGCTCCTCCATCTATGGGATTTTCCAGGCAAGCATACCGGACTGGGTTGCCATTTCCTTCCCCAGATCTTCCCGACCCAGGGATTGAACCCAGGTCTCCCGCATTGCAGGTAGATGCTTTACCTCCTGAGCCACCAGGGAAGTCCCTAAAGGTTTACGTGGAGAAGAGTCTACACTGTAGGTGGTTTTACTCCTCTCATATAACCTTGCTGTGGCAGGAAGGCTGGGAACACAGAGAACAGGGTAGCCGATGGACTTGAAAGAAAGGAGGTTATGAGAAACAAATATTATTGAAATTTCAACTGACTGAAGAATTTTGCAAACAGTCCACCTTGAGCACTGAGAGGAGAAAGACATAGATGGAAGAAATATACAACAAAATCTACATAAGGAAACGCTGACATCAGAAAATTTAATCACTAGACTTTCTAAACTCCTTTCATAAATGGCAAGGACCTAATAGAATCAGAAGAGATTAAGACAAGGTGGATAGAATACACAGAAGAACTGTACAAAAAAGCTCTTAATGACCCAGATAACCAGGATGTTGTGGTCACTCACCTAGAGCCAGATATCCTGGAGTGTGAAGTCAAGTGGGCCTTAGGAAGCATTACTATGAACAAAGATAGTGGAGGTGATGCAATTCCAGCTGAGCTATTTCAAATCCTAAAAGATGATGCTATGAAAGTGCTGCACTCAATATGTCAGCAAATTTGGAAAACTCAGCAGTGGCCACAGGACTGGAAAAGGTCAGTTTTAATTCCAAAGAAAGGAAACGCCAAAGAATGTTCAAATTACTGTACAATTGCACTCATTTTACATGCTTGCAAGATTATGCTCAAAATCCTTCAAGCTAGGCTTCAGTGAGAACTTCCAGAGGTACAAGCTGGATTTAGAAAAGGCACAGGAAAAGTAGATCAAATTGCCAGCATATGGTAGATCATAGAAAAAGCAAGGGAATTCCAAAAAAATCTACTTCTGCTTCACTGACTACACTAAAGCCTTTGACTGCATGGATCACAACAAACTGTGAAATATTCTTAAAGAGATGGGAATATCAGATCACATTCCCTGCCTCCCTGCCTCCTTCTTGTTTGTAGGACAAGAAGCAAGAGTTAGAATTGGACATGGAACGATGGACTGATTCAATTTTGCGGAAGGAGTATGTCAAGGCTATACATTGTCACCCTGCTTATTTAACTTATATGCAGGGCACATTATATGAAATGCTGGGCTGGATGACTCACAAGCTGGAATCAAGATTGCTGGGAGAAATATGAACAACCTCAGATATGCAGATGATAGCGCTTTAGTGGCAGAAAGTGAAGAAGAACTAAAGAGCTTCTTGATGAAGGTCAAAGAGGAGAGTGGAAAAAGCTGACTTACAACTCAACATTCAAAAAATGAAGATCATGGCATCCAGTCCTATCGCTTCATGGCAAATAGATGGGGAAAAATTAGCAACAATGTTAGATTTCATTTTCTTGGGCTCCAAAGTCTATGTGCACAGTGACTGCAGCCACATAATTAAAACTCACTTGATCCTTGGAAGAATAGCTATGACAAACCTAGACAATGTACAGTGTATTAAAAAACAGAGATATCACTTTGCCAACAAAGGTCTGAATAGTCAAAGCTATGGTTTTTCCAGTAGTCAAGTATGGACGTGAGAGCTGGACCATAAAGATGGTTGAGTGCCAAAGAATTGATGCTTTCAAACTGTGGTGCTGGAGAAGACTCTTGAGAGTCCCTTGGACAGCAAGTAGATCAAACCACTCAGTCCTAAAGGAAATAAACTCTGAATATTCATTGGAAGGACTGGTGCTGAAGCTGAAGCTCCAATACTTTGGCTACCTGATGCAAAGAGCCAACTCATTGGAAAAGACCCTAATGCTGGGAAAGATTGAATGTAGGAGGAGAAGGGGGTGATAGAGGATGAGATGGTTGGATGGCATCACTGACTCGATGGACATGAATTTTAGTAAATTCCAGGAGATGGTGAAGGACAGGGAAGCCTGGTGTGCTGCAGTTCATGGGGTCATAAAGAGTTGAACAGGATTGAGTGACTAACATACATATTCACAAGTTCTTGTCAGGGTCCCAAGGAAGATTCAGAGGAGGACAAGAAGGACATCCCATATTTGAGCTGTCCAGTTTGGGCCATTTAGAACAGTAAGTGGTGTGTGAACACAGACCAGTTCATAGAAGGACTTTATCAGTACTACTTTTTAGAAGCCCTAATACAACAGTGCCTTACAAGTGTAAGAACTTCAGCCAATTATGAACTTAGTCTGCCATGTTTGCAATTTTGCTGCTCTCCTCCCAGGTCCTAAGCAATTGTGTACTCTTTCTTTTTGCAATGGCATACCCTTGAGGACAGTACTGATGAAATGTAACAAGTTCCACTTCTGCGCTTGATCTGTCTTCCTTCTTCTTTCTCCATCCTAGATTCCTCAGTGTCTCATGGCAAGTCTGAGAGTTCATGGGGCAGGTGGCAGACAGAGACATGACTTAGTCTTGCCAAAGTTCTCTAATCTGTGAGGACTTCTATTTCTGCAGCCTTCTGTGGCATCATCCATCTGCATGGCCCATTAGTCAGACAGTAGAACTCGCACACATTCTTTGCAAAGAACTGAGCAAAGAGCTTCTGGGAGCTGTGACTCCAAGTGCAAGGCATGGATTTATTCAGTTGTAGCATAGAATTGTGGTTAGAGTAAAAATGTAATTAGCAGTCAGAGATGCTGGAGATTGAACTTTGATTTTCTGTGTTTGTAACTGACACTCTTCAGTTAGCAGTTTTGGAAATAAGATTTGAATCTTTTTTGGTGTAAGGAGATGTCTTAAGAGTTCCATGGTAGCAAACTGCTTTTTTCATGTGAATGAAGATGTCTTTTTCTAGCCCTACTTCTAAACGTGGGATGTTTTTGCCTTTCAGGGAAGTGGGTGGGGTGCAATCAGACAAAGACAATCTTCATGCTTGTTAGTAGAGTGATGTGGAAGAGCACTGGCATTAGGCTAAGATTTTAGTCTTCACTCCGCCACTTACTATCTTAGTGACTTTAGGAAAGTCACTGAATCACTGAGCTGAAGTTTCTACAACCATAAAATGGAGATAATATCAGCCCTACATATATCTCATAGGTTCAAACAAGATAATGTGAAAACCTTGAAATCCTATACAGATGTGTAACAATATAAGTCACCAAGGAATGATCATGAATACCAGTGGGAACTGAATAATGACTTTGAACAGTTTTCCAAGAACAGACACACCAGATATGACTGCAATACAGAAGACATTCACTGACAGATAAAGTAAAATTTTGCTCCCACTAAAAGCTTCAGAAAATATTCTGAGAGCACATTAATGATCCATCCTAAAGATGTCACCAGCTGGGGATGGAGGCTCTGAGAAAACAGAAGAAAGGCATCTCAAGAAAATTAGGACTTTTCAAAACAGAGTAGGTACAAAAAAACTCAGAACTACCAAAGAATTTCCCACAGAGAGGCTCAGAGAACAGATCTGTGACCATGGTAGTTAAGCAGAATAATGACTGAAGAAGACCAACAAAGGTTTAAAACTTCTGCCAAAATTATGTTATTCAATATCCCATGAGAGGATTTAGAACAGTTTTTTCCAACCAAAACCAACTAGAACAAAGTCCTGTTTTTGTTTTTAATAAAATGTCCCTATTCTAACTCATCTGCACTTTCAGTATCCAGTGCAGTTCCCTTCTGGTTACAGAAAGTGAAGGGTAATTGAAGTACAGAAGTGCTGGTTGCTAATGTCTGTGGCAGATTTCAGATCCCATCCTCTGCATTTCAATGACCCCCCTGCTCAGGGCTATGCCAACTGGAAGAAACGGATCCCAGTGTAGATAAAACTCTAGAAGACTTCTGGGAGTGGAGATTATATCAGTGGGGGCCAAGACTGGATTCTCCAGTTCTTTGCAATGCAAAAAATCCTTAGTTTCGGCCTTGTGGTTGATTACTAGGTGAATTTTGGTAAACTTGTCTCCACAGACTTCCCTTTCTTTCACTCTAGAATGAAGTAGCTAAAAGAAATTCTTTTACAGTCCTAATGTTTTATGAGAAGTGTCTGAGAAGACAACTTCCCAGAAGAATAGGAAGAGGGAGTCATCATGTTTTTAAGAGGTTGGAAGGTCAAGGATAACAAGGCCATAGAAATGGAAAGAGTGGACTTATGTAAGAATAAGTAACATTCAGAAAAATAAATGATCAAGAAAAACTGAGGCAGAGACAAACTGGAAGTAACTGAACAGCTGAACAACCAGAGAAAACTTGACAGGTTGGTACATAGACGTGGGTGGCTAGTGGGACCATGAAAGGCCAGTAGGCTGTGTAGGGTAGTAATGTTAAGTCATTTTTGTCAGCAGAGTCTAGAATATTAGCAAGTTAGGGATCCAGTGCCTGTAGATTTATTCTGGAATCAAGGAGTAAACCTAAAGCTTCATCAGAAAAATAGATCAATAAGACATATAAGTAGATCAGTCACAGACTAGGGCAACAAAGGATGTCACTAAAGAAGGATACTGATCAAAAAGATTCCTTGACCCAAAACTGCCTTGTCATCAGCTCTTTGGACAAGAGTTTAAACACAGCCACTTATACAACAGAAAGCCATTGTAGATATCACTTAGATGTAGATATCAGCATGAAAAAGATGAGGCAATGTAGGAAGTGACTGGTTAAACAATGCAAAGTCATTTATCAACTAAATAGCAGAGGCCAGAGCTCCTACTCTTTCATCACCATTTAAAAGATACACAACTACACAGCTTCCACAGTCTCTTAACCAGAATAACTTTGTTATACGGTTAATACTTTGTTGCTCATGGGAATTAAAGTGTACTGGTATAGCTGCAAAATGGTTTTTAAAGTTTGGAAAGGACTTTATTCTCTCTTTAGCAATGAATGAGAATGGAGGTTTCTCCTCATCCTTGCCAACATTGGCTGTTATTATTTTTTTTTAATGTTTGAGTTAAAAATTTTTTTTTGAATTTATTTTTATTTGGAGGACAATTGCTTTACAAGTGTTGGTTTCTTCCATACAACAACATGGATCAGTCGTAAGTATACATATATTCTCTCCCTCTTGAACCTCCCTCCCACCCCCACCTCCATCCCACCCCTCTAGGTTGTCACAGAGCATTTCTGTAAGTATTCTAACTGACTCTGAATTTCAGTCACTCTTACTCATCAACAAGGATAGGATGAGGATATAAAAGGTAGGATGAAGGCAAAAAGTAAAGATGTGCCATTTCTTTGTTTCCCATTCTTAGAAAGTTTATCATATAACAGAGATGACAAAAATTGATGGCTCCAAAAGCAGCATAAATATTTAACAGAAAATTAATCACTATAGGATATATGAAAAAATTCCATCATCTGATGGCTTCTAAAGATATATCTATAAATTATTTTAGTTTTTCTGCAAAGAAGGCAAATTTGCAATATCTCTATATACTCACCTTTAAATGTTGAATTGACTGCCTATTGCTTTTGTAACTCAGACATCCTGTTTTTTCTTGATCGCTGCAAACCCAAAAAAGGGGTGAAGGTTAGGCAGATGGGCAAGATCCTATATGCCGAGCATTATTTTTTCCACACTAAAATAAACCCTGGAATAAACTAACAACCAAAGGATTACCTTTCATTTGAAGAAAAAAATCTAAGGTATAAGGACAATATTTAATAGTAACTTGAATCAAAGGGTTTAAATACCACTGGAAAACTATTATTTGATCGGTAAGTCCAAACTTTCAGTCATTTTAAAAGGGAACATAAATTTCAAGATATAATTAAAATTTTGAGAGAAGAAATATCTGGAAGATGTATTTTTAAAAACTGAGGTTGCAGAATAATTTTACCAGCCTGTAAAATTCCTCAAATGCTTTCTACAATTCCAGCAGCCACAATGATGCAGTAGCCAGTGAAGGGAGGTTCAGGAATAAGGTTGCATCAGGAGAGAGTTATTAACACAAGGAGATGTGTGGACAGAAGCAGATACTGCCTAGCCTGCCAATTTAGGTGGCTCTATGCTGGTAATGAATGAGTTGACTATTCATCACCAGGGTAGAGTGGTGGTCTCCCTCACTTCCATCTATTTGGGCAGGGACTGAAAGTCACTTTGTTGAAATATAATTCCTACATAGAGAAAACCAGGTGTATCAAATTGAAATAGTGATGGATGGATGATCCCAAGTACAGATTACTTCTAGCCCAGAGATGAAATGTTGTTTTATTCTTGTAAAACAAGAGAGGAAAGAAAAATAATATTTTAGGTGCAGATAACAATGCACTCCTCCNCCAGGTGTATCAAATTGAAATAGTGATGGATGGATGATCCCAAGTACAGATTACTTCTAGCCCAGAGATGAAATGTTGTTTTATTCTTGTAAAACAAGAGAGGAAAGAAAAATAATATTTTAGGTGCAGATAACAATGCACTCCTCCAGAAAAGAACACTCTAGGGAAGCTCCTCAGTCATGCCTATCTCTTTTCTATCTCTGTGAGTTCAGAAGAACTGTTAAGTGAATTGCTAGTATTTGATAGCGCACGAGCGCGGCCAAGAGGAGCTATCCCACGTCCAAGGTAAGGAGCAGGGGCTGAGCTTTGCTGGAGCAGCCGTGAAGAGTTCAGGATGCTGTTTGGCACATCACAGTGTTAACTTTCTGAACAGTGAGTTATGGACCTGGAATATAAACAGGCTTCTAAGATATTTTCCTTACACAGGCAATGGTTTAGACAGAACAATCTAGCCATCACTTTCATCTTCTGGAGCAATTTGTTGGCATGAAACACTCTTGTATATATTTTATGTGTGTCCTTCAAGAATAAGGAGCCTGAAGATGAAGGTTTTGAACTGCACCTCAAAAACTTGTTCTTCAGCAGAGTATTGTATTTTAGAGCTCCAAACACTTACAGAAAATTCCTATCTATAATTTCTTGAATTTTAATGATAGTATTATCACTGGGAGTGCTTCCATTTCAGAGTGTGATGGTGGTAATTTCTTGGGTTATTTGAGCCTGAAATATTTAGCATCTAGTAACTTTAATCTGAATATTTTGACTTCCAAAAATAGTATTTTTACATTTGTGAAGCAAGTGATCATTAATGATGTATTTTCATAAATTAGATTATAATCTTTCATAACTTTAAAATGCTTCTGTTTTATAATGTTGAAATGTTTTGAAATAAAAGATCTAGTCATGAAGTTACCCAATCATTCTATCATTAGGGCTAATATCTTGGAATTCTTTATATGGTCATTAAAGAAACCTTTATTTCAGCTGTAAGAAGAGATGCATAAATGGTTCTCTCCTTTCTATTTTTTAAAAGAAACTCCTACAGAAGATATAGTGATATTACAATCTGAATCTTCTGAAATCAAGCAGCAGAAGAGAAAAATCATTACTTTGAAATATATGATTTAATATAATTTTCCTTATAAGAGTTCCTCCTTTTCTTGATGCTATTATTCAATAATAAAAAATGAACAGAAACCTTTGGCATTTTGTAATGTTCTTATAAGCAATTATTTTCTACTCAGTCTGATTGTAAAAGGTCCAACTAATTGGCCTTCTATATTCCACATGGCAGTCAAATTTTGTTTTAAAATTTCTGTGTATCAATTATAGTAATACTGTTGGCTAAAACTGCCATCTGTCAATATGTATATACACACACACATATATATGTGTATATATTAAAATATATAAATACTTAATATAATATATAATAACATATAACAATATAATGTTTATTTAATATTTGATGTTTACATATCATATATATAAATATATAAAAATATATATTATCATATATATATATATGATATTAACTGAAAATATGGCCATTCATAGAAAAGTGACATTTGACATTCTAAATTCTTAATCTGATAAATGTAAATAATGCAATACAGGTCTAAACAGGAGTAAACAGAACAGACACTAATATGAAGGATGCATTTTTTTCCCTTTGTTACCATTATGGATTGGAAGTATATTCTTATGGGAGAAAAACACTTTGATCTCAGGACAGATAAAGCTGAATTACTGAACTGTAATGAGTCAGAAATGGCCCACAGTTGAAACTAAAGTATAGAGCTTACACTGATGAAAATTTAACTGTTTCATTCCTGCATAATCTATGTTCTGGTTTCATCTGTTTTTTAATAGATTGATTTTTAAAGTGTGGCTTTGCAAGCCTCAGAAATCAAGGGACACTACTGTCATTCTTACTATAATAATGGGCTTCCTTGGTGGCTCAGTGGCAAAGAATCCACCTGCAATGCAGGAGACGAAAGTTCAATCCCTGGGTTGGGAAGATCACCTGAGAAGGAAATAGCAACCCTCTCCAGTATTCTCGCTTGGGGAACCCCATGGACAGAGGAGCCTGCTGGGCTACAGTCTGTGGGTTTTGCCAAAGAGTAGGGCACGACTTAGCAACAAAACAACACTATAACAACATTGGTATGGAAGATGGTAGCAGCCGTCAAGTCACCAATTAAAATGAATGCACTGCCGTGTGCAATATGGATCACAGATGGTAGGTAAATGTATTAGTGTGCAAATAAAGTGCCTCAGACAGTGCACACACCCACACTGTTAGCTTGTAGCAGTGTCTGTAGGATATTCTCTTCCAACTAATTTCTGCCCTTTGAGTTAACAGAAGAAAGTTGCTAAAGTTGTCCATAGTGTGTTGGCTCTTCTCAGCAAGATGAAAGCACACACTTGGTCTGGGAACAAGGGCAGCAGCACAGTGCAAACACATGCGCTTTGTTGAAGGGCCTTTAATCTTTCCAAGAGTGACTCTTCTATGCCGTAGTCAGTGCTCCGATAGCTCCAAGTGCATACTACATGCTGTCAAAAATGTTTTTCTTGTTTTACTTTTTCAAATTCTTATTGTGGATGATTCCACACATGCAGGGAATATGAAGGAATAACACAAGCACATCTGTATACCTGTCACCCAGATTCAGTAATTAATAGTTTGGCACATTTGCGTTATCTATCCATGCTTATGTCACACCAAACCATTAGGAATCCAGCAAAAATTCGGTATTTGATCTAAGAATAATCAATATGACTGCAACACAATAAACACACCTAAGGAAAGAACAAAGATTTGTCAAATCTAATATTCATTCTATATTCAAATTTACCTAATTGTCTTAAAACATGTTGTCTAGCTGAGAATTTTGCTTTGTTTTCTTTCTGGCCAATAGTCTATTAAGTAAAACTAAATGGTAGTGACCCCATGTGGGCATCAGATTCAGACATAATAATGGTCTACACAAGATGGTTTCTCTCTCACTTAGTCTGGAGATGTGCCAACAGGGGTTTAGGATGGCGCTTCCATCCTCAACACATGGCTTCATTCTTAGGCTGAAATAAGGCAGCTCCAGTCTGTAATCATGGTACAGAGGTGACACAGAGGAGGGCACAGTCCAAGGCCGTGATCCAGAGGCTGTGTACACAACTTCTGCTCATGTTCTATCACACAGAGTGTAGACACATTGTCCTGCCTAGAAGCAGAGACTGAGAAAAACAGGCTTTATTTTTGGTGACCATGAGTTTAGGTTTCTCTGGACCTATGGGTCTCATGTCTAAAGGAACAATGGTTTAGGGGCAGTAATTAGCCATCTTTGCCATGAGTGTTTCTGGGAATAACTGAGCTCTGATGAACTATCATAAGACTAATACATTGCAATATATTGATATGCTTAGATATGTTTCAGGTAAGACTATTTTTCTCTTATATTAAATATGCCTCATATTATTACTATTCAAAGTGAATATTGCTTTGAATATTAATAAATGGTTTATAATTTTAGGTTTTCTTTCTCCTTCCTTGACAAGATATAAGCTGTCAGTCTTCATTACTGTAACTATGCTACCTTTCCTTTCTAATATTCCTTTTTTGGTTATCAAGCTTCTAAAAATAAAGTTTTATTTAAGGATAACTTACATGCAAAAAAGTTCACAAGTCATAACTGCACAGCATGATAAAAACAGTGATTCATGTAAACACCACTCAGATCAAGAAATGGAACATTTAGTATTCTAGAAGCAGTTTTGTTTAAGTACCAAGTACTATTTCCTTCTTTCTTCCAGAGATAATGTTGTTATGACCTTTAACACCATGGTTTAATTTTCATATTTTTGAATTTTATATAAATGAAATCATATTATGTGTATTCCTTTCAGACTGGCATATTTTGTTCAATATCATGCTTATATGATTCATTGGTATTATTGCATAAAACAATAGTTCATTTTCATTGCTGATGGGATTGTATTAATATATCATAATTAATCCATGATATTGTTAATGAACAACTGTATTGCTTCTCAGTTCAGTTCAGTCACTCAGTCGTGTCCGATTCTTTGCGACCCCATGGACTGCAGCATGCCAAGCTTCCCAGTCCATCACCAACTCCTGGAGCTTGCTCAAACTCCTGTCCATTGAGTTGGTGATGCCATCCAACCATCTCATCCTCTGTCATCCCCTTCTCCTCCTACCTTCAATC